ATTGATGGAACAGCAGATTCTTTCAAACAGATTTTGAAATCTTCTGTTTGAAACTGGGCCTAAAATATAGTTTCATTCTAATCAGATGCTGTTATAAGAAGTGAATTTTAATGAGTACCTCACAAATTTCGCTCGTCTTCAAATTGATTTTCCACCCAGTTTCATATTTTCCTTCCATAAGCGAATGATTGATATTTGTTTTGGAAAATTGAATAAATGATATCCATTTTTTTCAGAATTGGCACAATTTATTACACAGCAAGTGATTTCCATAACTGCTTTTTTCTCGGAAGAATAATTATGAAATTTTATTTCAATTCTGACGTTCATAAAATTTATTGTCAAATTCAAACAATTTTGAATGAAAAAGCGCGGGACGACTATGGTGCTATTGTCACAATGCAAGGTGTGTAACTTATAAATCTAAACATTCAAACCCCTAACCGTTCAATCAAACACTAATACCATCTAGAGTCACTGATCAGTCGGCAGAGACGTGCTGGCAATGGCTGAGATGTAACGGGCAAACGTCGGTTAAACGACGCTAAACCTATAGTGGAGTATACTGTGGCCTTGCCAAAAAATGCTATCTCGGAAACTAAGCGAGATAGAGGTATAGTTACTTTGGAGAAAATGATCGCCATCGAATTTTGAGCAACTTTGGTTTTTGTGTGTGGTCTGTCTGTCTGTCTGTCTGTCTGTACTCTGTGGTAATCATAAATCGATATATCTACGGAACCCTTTGACATATCGACTTGAAATTTCGCCATCTCATTGTACTCACAACAATATCATGTTATTAAAATATGAAGGAAATCGGAAAACTCTAAGGTGGTTTTTCCGGGTTTTTTCGATTTTTCACCGGAAGTTTCTTGTACCCACTCTACAAATCGCAAAAGTGGTCTGATCGATTTAATTTTTTGTGAAAAAAAAAACTCTATCAGGGATCGAGAGACGAAGCCTATTGAAATTGAGCAGGGTCAGAAAATTCCAAGTGGGTTTTTCAAGATTTTCCGAAACACACGGTTCGCTTTAAAACGACATATCTCCTGAACCAATAGACTAAATCCAAATTTGAAAAAATGCACCGTATGCCTCTTTGATGACGCAACGAAAATCAAAACATCAAAATTTGAAATCCTTTCAATTGAATATATATCGAAAACAAATCGACAAATCGAAAATCATCGGAAGTGCAAAGTTATCCACTGGAACATTTCCCACAAATTATTACCCATAATTTTTTCTGTAAACCCAATAGTACTGGCAATGAAGTAAAAAATATGAAAAAAAAATTTGAACGACCCATAGGGTATAGGTACCATGAAGATATATTGAGAAACAAAGATTATCGATAGATGAAGCTTATCGACTTCCACTGAACCATGGAATATTTTTTCCTTTTGTTGATTGGACGATGGAACAAAAGTGTTGAAAATTTTATTCTCAGATAATTACAAATATCTCGAAAACAACTGAAAATATCTGAAAATGTTATAGAACCAAAATTATTCCATTTGATAGAATCTACAAAAAATCCATATAACATTTTTCTTTGAATTCAATAGTTCGGGAGATACGATGAAAAAACTAAAAAAATCACAAGTTCCTAGATAATCACTTGCCAATAGAAAACGAAACAAAAAACAAAAGAAAGTAAAAAAAGCACACTCGACTGTCTTGTTTTTTTTCTCATAAACTACGTAGGTACCTAGCTTACTCAACTATCTTGATTTTTTTCCACAAACTACGTACCTAGCTTGGAAAAACAAATGAAAATCAAAACATCAAAATTTGAAATCCTTTCAATTCAATATATATCGAAAACAAATGGAAAAATCGAAAATTATCAGAAGTGCAGAGTTTTCCACTGGAACATTCCTTCAAATTATTACCCATAATTTTTTCTGTTAACCCAATAGTACAGGAAATAAAGTAAAAAATATGAAAAAAAAAATTTGAACGACCCATAGGGTACCATGAAGATATATTGAAATACAAAGATTTTCGATAGATGAAGCTCATCGACTCTCACTGAACCATGAAATATTTTTTCCATCTGTTGATTGGAAGATGGAACAAAAGTGTTGAAAATTTTATTTTCAGATAATTCCAAATATCTCGAGAACAACTGAGAATATCTGAAAATGTTATTGAACCAAAATTATTTCTTTTGATAGAATCTACAAAAAATCCTTATAACATTTTTCTCTAAAAAAATTACAAGTTCCTAGATAATCACTTGCCAATAGGAAACAAAACAAAAAACAAAAGAAAGTAAAAAAAGCACACTCGACTGTTTTGATTTTTTTCTCATAAACTACGTTTCTAGCTCTTGGTTTTTCCAGACAGTCGAGTGTGCTAAGTACGTAGTTTGTGGAAAAAATGTCCAGTTCTCTGAACTTTCATAGCGTCGTATACACATCTCTGGTGCCCAATGATAGTTTCAATATAAAAATATGCTCGTCATATGGTGCCAGGGCCTCTACTTCCATCTTACATGAGCAATGATAAAATATCATCTGCTTTTATAGCGTCGTATAAATTATCTGACCTCTATACTAATCTAATACCTAATGAAAACTACATCTATACTAATCCGATACCTTTCAAAAACTACGTACCTCACTTGTTTTCTCTCTTTCTCTCCTAGCATAACTATTGTTTTCATTTTTTGAATTGACTCGGCCGTTACTCGATGGAAATCCATGGAAAATGTAAAAACTTCACAAACGTTTTTACTATTGTTTTCATGAAATTTCAAATACCTTGGACATTCATTAAAAAATACATTTCATCGTTTCATGCATTTTCATCAACCCTGAACAATTATACTCCTTTTATTTTCTGTACGATAATTGTTATCATATCCACATACTCCAACTTGTGTGACTTTTATGATGAATATTCATCACTTAGGGCTTTTTCTTCAATAAATTTTAGATAAGTGAAAAATTATTTTGAAAATTTGATATCACGCGAGAACAGTTATCAATCTTGTTAAAATGCCGTTATAAACGAACCGTTGGGTAATACTTCATTTGATATAAAAAAAATCACATATTATAGAGAATAAGTTTGTGAAATTCAGTAATTTTCCTCTTCAATATTTTCTCAACAAATCAACACCACCGATTAACACTAAACTACTGAAGCTAACTAACTGAAGATGTAAAATCATAATTATCAATTGAAAAAGAATATTTTCAGATACAATCATGAACATAAAAAATGGATACATAAGGAAATACATTGAAAATTCGCATTCTCTATGTGATGAAAATATCAATTCTTTCTCGGTAACAACTACTTTCCTGGCTATATGCCACGGCGAACATTGAATTACATCTATTGAACATATACACGATAAGAATTTGAAAACAAAATCTTCTGAAGTAGAGAATTCGCACTCTCCTCCATATAAAGATATGCACATAATATTCTGAATATTCAACAGAAAACAACTACTTTCCTGGCTATTTGCCACGTCGAACATTGAATTATATCTGTTGAACATCCGAAAAAAGAAAATGAAAATCCTCTGAAATTGAGAATTGACATCATCTCTCAAATCGGATAAAATAATATGATGTATTATGATATAAAAATATAACTCATCAATATGTTCAGTATGCAAATTTAAATGTATATGAGAAGTACACTTATATAAGCTCTGATCTCGATGAGCTTGGATCTTCAAAAAAAAAACATTCCTATTAGTGATATGGGATTTATATCTCTCTTTTTGGATGTTCAACGGATATAATTCAATGTTCGACGAGGCACATAGCCAGGAAAGTAGTTGTTTTCTATTGAATATTCAGAATGATATGTGCATATCTTCATGTGTAGAAGAATGCAAATTCTCTACTTCAGAAGATTTTGTTTTCAAATTCTCATCGTGTATGTTCAATAGATGGCATATAGCAGGAAAGTAGTTGTTTTCTGTTGAATAAACCGAGAAAGAATTGATATTTTTATCTCATAGAGAATGCGAATTCTCAATGTATTCCTTTATATATATATATATATATATATATATATATATATATATATCCATATCATAATTATATCTGAGAATATTCCTTTTCAATACTTTCACCCAATCGAGGGGTTCAAACCTGAACGATGGAAACTTATTTTTATAGACCTCAAGCGCAGATTTGTTATTGGGTTTATTCTCAATTCAGAATTTTTTCCATAAAAAATCAATATATATACACTTTAACGATTAACAGAGAGGTATTTCATAAAAATTTTTTGATTATTTTCACGTTCAAAGAGATTCATAGGACGAAAAAAAATTGAATGTGATAGATATCAGCTACTACTGTTTTTGTACTGACGAGTAAGCCAGAGCCGTCTAGCGCCCAGACTGAGCGACTTTGCATGTATAATGAGGTGAGTTTGCTTGTATCCTGTTTTTTCGTAGTATAAATCTTCATATACGGGAAAATGAAACATCTTGAACATTTTTCATGAAATTTAATATCTGGTTAATCGTTTGTATTGACTGATGCGTTGAATCATTAAAATCCAATTTTGGTCGAAATCATGAGAAAAATCGAATTCAATCAAGAGTATCCCTTTTGTAGTGTTACGAAATCTAAATTTCATATTCAAACCCCCAACTTTCCATTGGCGTTGAAGTTTTAGATGTTCATTAGCAATAGCAATTTAAAAATTGAAATTTAAGAGCTGTCTAGCGCCCAAGTTGAGCAACTTGTTTTGGTCTGAGGAAGGTGTGGTAGGTTTTTGAAAAGACTTTTCAGGGACACTCTGTATAATAAACACGTTACCAATGGTAGACAAATACGAAATTTGGATGACCATGCATGAAATATTCTTTAATTTTTTGAGAAACCAGAAAGGGAATGGACATCTCGCCTACCTGGGGTGGATGAGGAGATATTGTTTGTAAAGTTTTCACAGAGACGGTATAGGTATATTGAAAATATTTTTGATCTTTTGGAGGTCGTAAGGTCTTGAAAATCCTTAATTCCTAGGCATAGGCAAATATTGGGTCATCAGCACTTTTTGGTTCTTTTTTAATTTTTGGAACAATCATGTCAAAGTTACAGAACATGAGATTGATTAACAAGTTAAGGGCGTATTTCATAGATGGCGATCGCAGGAGGTTCACAACGTCCACACTTCGTTACTGCATAAATAGTCACTTGTATAGTAGCTGAAAGATCCAAAGAATGAATCATAGCACTAGTTCTTCCACCACTCATGACTTTGGATTTATTGACACCGTTTATGAAGATATCATAACCAGTTACTGAGCTACTCTTTGGTGGTTTCCATTTGACGATGATGCTGTCTTGAGTAATTCTCCGTATATCAATGACTTCAAAACCGGTCAGCTTCACGTTATCTTTTTCTTTATGCGGTTTTCCACAACCACATGCCCTTGATGATTTTTTTCTACTTTTATGAGTCTTTTCATTGGCCATAGCTTTTGACAACTTTTCAGCAAAATCCTTTTCTTCTTCGACAGGGTATAAAATATTTGTCGAAATAGGTTCTTGCCTCGGTTTGTCGAATGATTTGACATCTTCAGCTTTATCATAATCAGGTACATCTGCAGTTCTGGTATTCAGGACTTTTTCGAATGTATTACTGCTAGTCCGCATTTTCAATTCGCCAGTCATGGCGTCGATCATTTTATCCTTCGCTTTACATTTTTCTTGCAGATTATTCAGTGCCAATTTAAGACCTGACATCGTCTGGCCAAAAGCTGAAGCTTGTTTCACTAGTGGTTTGTTTTTCACCGCTTTCATCTCAGCCTCGGTACATGCGCATTTGATTTTATTGAGTGCTTTCTTGATTTCTTTGATCTGCTCTCGACACTCACAGCTCTCTTTTGTACTTGTCTGAATTTCTTTTTTCAGTGTATCGCTATCCATTTGAGCTATATCGAGTTCTTCCATCTTTGCTGGACAAATGCAACACGCTGGACAATTACAGTTTTTGGAATGTATATCTCTCTCGGGTAATTCCTGTTGATTGGTTTCCTCCACGTCACCAGCTGGATGTGACATTTGCTGTTCTCCAATAACTTTCGAGGCTTTTCCACTAATACCTGAGGGTTTAGCAGATAATTGAGATTTTTTACCAGATATAGTTGAAGTTACCCCGGAAACATATTGCTCATTCGTGAATTTTCCAGCATAATAGTTAATTGCTTCATTCAGACACTTACATTCGGCACAATTACATGATCCAGGTGATCCGGATTGATGTACAGTAATAACTTTTTCCGATTGTTTTCCAGAAATGTAAGCACTTGGTTGTTGTCCAACTTTTCTCTTTTCTCCAGGACAAGAACACTCCACACAGTCGCATGGTATTGGTGACTGAGGTTTCTGAAAACCATCATCTTTTTCAGACTGTTTCTTAGATATGCGAGAGGTCTTTGCAGATATAGGTGAAGGTTCACCCAAAGGTTCTCCACATATTTGTGGGTCCTTATAAGTTACTCGGGAAACTTTCTCTGTTATATTTCTTTTACCATCGTTAATTATTGTTTCTGCCGAACACAAACACTTTGGGCAATCACATGGCACTGGAGACTCTGACAGTTGATGATTAGCAATGAGCTTTTCCGATTGTTTTCCTGGAATATGAGAAACTTTTCCACTTATCTGTGATGGTTTTGATAAGAGTTTAGTTGAATGAACAGATAGAGGTTGATTCGGCATATCCTTGATTTTACCAGCTTGAAAATTGACAGCGGTCTCGGGACAAGTGCATGTGGGGCAATCGCAATGAATAGGAGATTGCGGTCTATCACCCACAGGAGCTGAATTGGGTCTATCTGGCATTGGTACAGATTTTTTAAGGGATATTATAGGTACCGATTGCTTTGCAACATCGGACTGCTGGATTATCATATTATCTGGTACTGCTGGCTGATTGCCACTTTTATCACTCTCGAAGCATTCACATGGCAAGCAATTACATGGAATGCCTACAGCTGCAGATTTTTTATCATTAACAGCAAAACTTTTTTGGACACCGACGCCAACAGCTGGTGGTAGCTGAATGCCGTCATTATTGCAATAAGGACACGTACATTTCCCACAATCACATGGAAGACGAATTGGGGCTTCGAATGGTGGAGCTTCAATAGTAGCAAGAGCCGTTTTGTTTGTTGCAGCTGCAGACCTTGTGCCGCTGGCACCAACACCACCTGAGGAGAGTGCAAGCTGGGCACCGCCTCCTACAGATGATGGTAGCTGGCCACCTTCTTTATTGCAATATGTACAGGTACAAGTTCCACAGTTACATGGAAGACGGATGGGGGCTTCGAATGGTGGAGCCTCAAGAGTAGCAGGAGGTGTTGTACCAGTGACAGTTGCAGACCTTGGGCCACTAGCGCCAACGGCACCTTCTTTATTACAAACTACACAAGTGCAAACTGCACAGGAACATGGTAGACGGATTGGGACTTCGAAAGGTGGGGCCTCATTTGTAGCTAGTGGAGTTTTAACTGAAGGGGCACCATCTGTGAAACCTGTGATGAGTTGTTTCTTTTGTTCACAAATTACGCACGAGCAAGTATTACAGTCGCACGATTTTCTGATAGGCACTTCAAATCTCGGAGGATCCAAAATAGTACCAGTGGGTTGGTCAATTGGTTTTTGGGATTGTCCAGAGCTAGGGGGTTTCTTCTCCCTACTACTACAATCGTCGCATCCACAGCCTGGACAGTGACAGGTCCAACCTGAGGAACCCTGTTTCAGACAATCGTCTTTACACTCTGTACATTGACATGGTGTTGATGTTTTTCCAGCTTCTGTTGGAGTTTTCAATGCAGCTTGAGATTTCTTGAGGACACAATCATCGCATTTACAATCATCACAATGACATATTTGTGTAGCCGACTCAACGATGGGTTTAATGTCTTGTGCACAGCAATTTTCACATACGCAATCAATGCATTTACAGTTTGGACTACGCACTGATGATGCAGCTACAGGCTTGACAGTATCTTCTTTGGATTTAGCATCGTTTTTAATATTAGTGAAACATTCGATACATAAACACGTTAAGCACGTACATCCTTCAGGGTGTGTTGCAGTTTTAACGGGTTCTGGTGTTTCTATAAGCTTTGTAGTGTCGGTGAGCTTGTCAACTTGTTTCTTTCTATCTTCTTTAGAACACACATCACATGCACAGTCTATGCAATGGCAACTTCGAGTAGTAACAGCTGGTACTGATACATCTTGCTTCTTAGTTTCCTCCTGAATCTGAACATTGAACTGGCAATCATGACACGTGCAAACTCCGCATTTGCATTCTTTCGTTTGGGATTTTTCTTTCTTGTAAAAACAGTCGGTACAAACACATTCTCCGCAAGCACACTCATCTGTTTTCGGACTAGATTCGGTTTCTCCAGTGGGAGTTGATCTCACTATAAAAGTTCCATCGCCAGTTTGGCCCATTTTGGAACAATCCTTACAAACACAATCGCCACATTTGCAGTCGAGGGTATCCGTAATTCTTTCATTTTTGTAAAAACAATCAGTGCAAGTGCATTCAACACAACTACATCCTTTTTCTTGTGAGTTTTCTTGGGAGCATAAGCATTTTCCACAATTACACCCAAGAGGATGAGTTGCTTCAACAGTTGTTGCGGCAGGCTGAGCTTTACTCTTGGTTTCGGCCATTCCAGGACATTTACATTCAGCACAAGTACATCCTTCTGGATAATCTTTTGTGGTTTCTTCTGTAGATCTGACTTTAGAAGATCCATCACCAGTCTGATCCATTTTGGAACAGTCCTTGCAGACACAGTCGCCACATTTGCAGTTGAGAGTATCCATAGCTCTTTCATTTTTGTAAAAACAATCAGTGCAAGTGCATTCAACACAACTACATCCTTTTCCTTCTGAGGTTTCTTGTGCACACATGCATTTCTCACAGATACACCCAGGAGGATGCACTGCTTCATCCGTTGTAGGTTCAGGCTGGGCTTCACTTTTACCTTCGTTGATTCCAGGACATTTACATTCAACGCAGATGCATCCCTCCGGGTGGCCAGTTTTACCCTTCTGACTAAACTCGCTCGCTGTTTGCATAATTTCTTCAGCACATAGACAATCTGTACAATCGCAATCATCAGGATGAGGATCTTTGGCAAATGTTTTAGTTCCATCCTTTCCAGGGCAATCGCAGACCTCACATGTACAAGTAGGTATACCATCTATCATCTTGGCATCTCCTTTTTCTAAATCGACTTTTTTGGCACTCTGAGGTTTTTGTTTAGATGGATCCGCGCAGGGATCACATTGGCAATCAAGACAATCGCATGGCATCATTTTTGAAACAATGGGTTCTTGTGGTTTTTTCTTTTTTGGATCAGCACACGGATCACATTCACATTTCACACAATCACATTCCATAAGGGGTGTATCTTCAGGTGTAGTCAAAATTGCTGAAGGTTTTTGTGATTGATCTCCTTTTGCTTGGGTTTCTTTCGCATTCGCACACTTGCATAGATCACATTTACAATCTGATGAAACTGGTTGAATAGGTTTTGTGAGAGCTATCTGATCTGGTATTGTGGAAAATTGACTCGGTTTAGCAGAAGCTTTGCCAGTTTTTCCTGGAGAAAGAGCACAGTTGACACACTCTTCGCAATCACAATCATCCGGATGTGAAGGAGAATCAATAACATCATTTGCCACTTGCTCATTCTTGTTTTCTGATAAAGGACAATTACATACTTCGCAGTCACAGTCTTCAGGATTTGGAAGACTCGAAGCCTTGTTACCAGCTGAAGAAACAGTCGCAGCAACTTCAGTTTTAGTAATGTCTGAAGCTGTTTTCATAGCTGCAGAGTTTGGGCATGCACATTCCTGACAGTCGCAATCATCTCCGTGTGACACTGTTGAAGGGGCTATACTCAAAGGCAAGTCTTTTGGGACGATGGTTGATACCTTGGTTTGTAAAACGTCTACTGGACATAGTTCACAGGTGCATTCTCCTTTACAACAACAATTTTTTTGATTCTGTCCTTTTGCTTTGTCCATTTGACTTTGTTTTATGTCCAAAGGTTTGTTTGGTTCTGCACTTTCCTGCGTCTCTTGTTTCGCTGGTTTTTTGAAACAAACCTTACACTCACATTCTGAACAATCACACATCTCAGGATGTGCAGCGGCTCCTTTATCCATCTGACTTTGTTTTGTGTCTAGAGGTTTATCCGCTTCTGCACCACCTTGTTCAGCTGGTTTATTGAAACAAACCTTGCACATACATTCTTCGCAATCGCACATTTTGGCTAGTTGACTGGGTGTCAGCCTAATTTTTTGTCCTTGTTCTTGGTCTGTATTACCTGTCTCGCTTTTAGTTGGTCCAGATTTGGGAGCATTGTTGTCTTCTTTCTTGCCACTGCAGTCACCTGAACAACAGTCACAATCGTCACATACACAATCTGGAACAGTAGGTGGTTTGATTTTAGGAGGACCAACAGTTGTCGAATTGGTTGCGATAGGTATTCTGGATCTCTCTGTCAAGTATTTCTTCGCGTTCATTGCATTGATGCAGCTGCACTTCATGGTCGTGACTTGATATATTTGTTTTTCATCTTTTACTATGGGAAATTCCTTCATTTGTGCAATTTTCTGTATTTTTGGTAAGCAAAGACAATCGATACATTCACATTCGGCTGAATGGGTGTGAGTTGACTTTTTCAGTGGTTTCCAGCAATCCGCAGGAATTTGGCAAGGTGGATTGAATATATCATCTAGGCAAGTGCGTTTTTTGGTCTTAGGTATTGCTCCTTGGGCAGAATCTAAATTGGTACTTCTAAGAAAAGCTTCTGTTTTGTATTTAGGAGAAGTGGCTTTGCAGGATTCCAATTTGCATGATGTGCATTCACAGTTGGCGACATGTTGGGTCTGCATGTAAGATACCTGATTAACTTGGCAGGTTGTATGGGGATGAGATTGTGAAGACTGAACTGTACAGCAGCAGAGTTGATCTGATTCACCGATGGGAGGTTCCGTATTGCCAGTCATTTCCACACGCTTAGAAATGATTTCCGGTGAGCAGACGACACACTGGCAAGTGCCTACACAATCGCATTTGACATTTTCTAGCTTAGAAGATCGCTTTTTTCTCGGCCTTTTCGTATCTGAGCTATCTATTACAGGTGCCATGCCTTTATCTGACAACTTGGAGACGGAATCTGGAACTTCTGAGGATTTTTTCGAAGTGGTTAACTCTTTTGAAGATACTTGTTTCTTATCGTTGTTGAAAGTAGAGCTTATTGGTGAAAATTTGCTCTCTTCTGTTTTACTGGTTGCTGACTGCCCTTGACTGATCGGTTCCGGTGTTGGTTCTGTAGAATTATTGTCGGCTTCTACTACTGATGATTGATCGATTTTTTTGGTTCCCCCTTCATTTTTTGTTTCTGACGTGGATTCGATCATGGCAGGAGGTCCTGGGAAGAAAGACAAAAATGAATAAATGAAAAGTTGAATGTACAGGGTGGTTTATTATACTTTGACACCACTCAACTATAATGTTTTGATGAAGGAGTGAAACAAAAAAAAAGATGAATGATAAAGTAGTGAAATTTCTTCAATACTTTCGAATGATTCAACGTGATATAAAAAATGGAAATAATTTTTCGAATAGAACAACCGCCTATACAGTTCCACTTTTTCTTTGGAATATTTTTTGTAGATAACGATACGGAGGAAGATGTAGAGGTCATGCTGTCATTGTGTTTCACATATTAGATGTCGAATATATATACAGGCTATTCCGTCTAAACTACACATTAGAGTTCTGAAAATGACACTTTTATCTGAAAATTTATTCACAGGGGTTGTCGAATGAAAATATTTTCAATACGACACTATCGGTTATACCGGAAGTGGACGTCAACTTCGTTATTTTGAATCGAAAACTTGGTATATTTTTGATTGCTCTCCCAGATTTCTTATGATTTTTCGAAAAAATCTTCATGGGCGTTCTTTATACTTAGGTCTAGCCGTTTTCGATATGTGCAGACTTTTTTGATCTTTTTTCGTTTTCACCTTCGTCTTTCAGAATCGATAACTCTGATATTTTTGGATATATCGGAATCATTGAATTGTTTTTTTTTGTATTTTCTTGATTCGGGAAAAACGGTTAAGAGTTTTATCAAATTTGGGAAAACATTTAGGAAAGTTCAAGTAGCCAAAACGATTTTTTCAATTGAATGCCAATTTTTCCTCTCACTGAATGATGGAGAATTCACTTCCGCAACGATCTGTACCGATGTTCCCTATAATTACCTATGTCTGATGGTTTTCAAGTTACGATGATATTTTCTCGATATTGTGGGTAATTCATTATCATCCTCAAAGTATCAATTACTGTTTTTGCATGGTTTGCTATGTTTGTTTTCTTCTACAATTTTCGAAATAATGAATTGAATTTTGGTATACTCATTGCACTTGCAGAATTCAATATTTGGGGCTATTAGGCGATTTCGATTCACTATATAGCTATATATGTTGATGCAATGTTGAAGCAATAACTGGAACAGATATTCAGCAATATTGCAAAGGTGAATTTTGATATTGTAGCGTTTCAGCAATATTACATGTTGCTGTGACATTGCTGGAACGTTGCATTTACACATTTACATAAAAAAATTTAAAAATATCACATCCCCTGAATATCGGAAAGGGGGCTCCTATGCATATATGTTTACATGAGTATCTCCTTCAAGCTGTCGTTGATGTACTGCTACGAAAAACTGACTAACTCTGTATGGAATGAACGGATTATTCGGTCAGCCGAAACTTGAACAGTACATTTTGTTAATAGGATAGTTTCAGAAAATAAATCTATTGAATTTTCTCAATAATATAGCGTTGTCTACAAGCCTTTCAAATAATGTATGTACTTGCTACTGAAACACCTTGTAACTGAATTATTGCTGTATTATCAGAAAACTGAAACAGCAAAGGAGATATCATTACATAAATAGTATCTAATTTGAAACTAACCTGTTCTCTCTTCACCATCAGTATCTGATTTCTCATAAGCGGCACTAATTTCATCACCTGTTCCTGAAAATTGAAGAAGAATGTTTCAATTATGATAGGACATTATAGTGACAGGTTGCATAAAGCTCTTTCTTTACTTGACTAGGAATGTACTCTCCTTCATAAACGAAGACATACGTTGCCATGAATCCGAGAAAAAATGAATATTTCATGCACGAATTGACGTGAAGATGCACTATAACGCCTGGTTTTGCGGGCAATAAATAGCACTTTAGCACTTCAGGATTTCTAGTAGACTACCATTCGAGCTATCTTCACCAGTGACATCTAAAATTTCGATGACTGAATTCAAACTCATTGTTGACAGTAAATAATAGTATTTTTTCTACTCCCGTATTACAATTATGATTATGATACAGATTTTTACGAATGGAGACACGTATTTTTCATTATGATACGAATTTTTGGCTTATAGAAACACGTGATCTTGGGTATAATTAAGTGGGTCTATGATCTTATCTCACTAATTATTTCCTTGCTTGATATACAGCTTATATTTGACATTTGATTTCAATTGACATTCAATCACAACGCGTTTGAAATATAGATAGTGAGAAATTAACTGTTATTATTATCTCTTGATTGTAGAAAAATTAGTGTAATTGAATGTCATTTGAAATTAAATATCAAAAAACTCAAGAAAGTGAGATAGAAACATAAACCCACTTGATTATACCCAAGCATATATTTATATACTTATTATTGAACAATATGGATAATCTCTATTTGTTTTCATAGCAAAAAAAGGACATTTTTTAAGACAAATGACTATCCATAAGCATAAGGTGATATACTGCTCATGCTTATTAATGCGCAGACACAGCATCTAACCCATTCGCGATGACTTTAAAAACTACGGGAAATAGTTATTTGTTTAACTAGGCAGCAAAGTAGTAGATTGACTGTCGAGTTGAACATATAATTTTTTCTCCGATTGTTCAAAATGATATATATCTCTTTATTTTTCCTGTAGTGTTCAATAAAAATAAAATTTGATAGAAATCACAGTTGTTGGAATGGTTGGTTGCTATGGAAATGTCCATAATAATTATAGTTTGGCAATTCATGAAATTTCTGACAGTTGTGCGATAAAATATCGGTAAATTTAAATTATTATATACCTAATGGACAGTGATAACGACCTGGAAGTACTTACACCTCCAGAAATAAGGGAGGTGGCAAAAAATATAGAGTTGAATTTGTTGCCGGAGAAGTCTCGGATGAAATATGAAGGAAATTATAAACGATTTATGGATTATTCATTTTGCTGATACATATCAATCAGCAAAGTAACCACTTTGCTGCCTAGGCAGGAAAAGTAATACTTTGCTGATTGATATGTGTCAGCAAAATTAATATTTGCTGCCAATCAGAGAAAAACATGTTTAACTTTCAATTAAGATGTTTTCCTGTAGTTTTGAATGGTCATCATGACGTCATCTAATGGCTTTGGCGATCGCAAATATCGTTAACATGACCTATAGTCCAATCAAGATGTACATCCGTGCTTGCGAATGGTCCGGTCATTCTGAGTTTTTTATATGTTGTTAGGACCTAAACCAATATTGAAAAACCAGATTTGCAATTTCCAAAGTGCTGTGCGAGCGACGGTATACCCAAAAAACCATGAAATTTTCGGTCAATATCTCAGAGGAGAGAGGGCTTGACCGCTATAGTGACCCCATAAACTTTGGAAGATAACTAAATTTGCTACGATTTGAGGCTAAGGCGAGCTCTATACAGCTATTGGTTTCCAAGATGCAGTCTTCGAAAATGGTAAATTTTCTCGGAAAAATGGGCACCTATACTTTGAATTATCTTTTAAAATGCGCTTCCCACGTCAAATATTATGCGGAATGAAGTTGTAGTAAATTCAATTAGCTTTCATTTGAGACTTAACTGGTATCTCTAAGCCTAGCAGTTCTCTAAAAAACGGCTGGTAATCGAAAACAGTCTACCTTCAGAAGAGCACGAAGAGCAAAGCTGGTTGCTGTCATTTCTCTATACGAACTCTTACATTCACCAAGACTCCCAGCGATCACCAGGGACGGTACTATTCACCCACGCATTCACCGGGTGCGATACTACCTCAGCGCCGTTTGGCCTAGGGAAGACCAAATTCACTTAACTCCTGAGCAAGAGTGAACCACTTGCTGAGCACGTGGAAGTCTTTCTTCGGCCGGCCTCCACCCCATAAGCCGCGAGAGAAGCAGGCATTCAATGTTTTGTGGCTCTACATGAGGGTGATATCGCGAAGAATACTTTGGATTTCCTGAGGTACAAGACATTTGTTACTTCAACGAGCATAAACCTCGCTCGATTGCCACCGACGGAAGGTGCCGCAGGCCACCATGCAGCAAGGTGCTACCTTCAAGTGCAGAAGTAGCGGGGAGTAAACTTGAGTCCTACAGATTGGGGCTGGAAAATGTCTTCACAGGGACTCACCCCCATCTCTACCACCATGCAGCCCGCACGTCTTGCTCTTCTGCGAAAGATCTCATGTGAATGCAAGAAAGGGTGCCCTGGGAGTTGTTTGTGCAGAAAGGCAGGGCTCCACTGCTCTGTTCTCTGCCATTCATGCGGTGGCAAATTGTGCACCAACGTCCCGGATGTAGAGCTGAAATGCTCGGATGATGAAGATGACCCGACTACCGATTGGGCGCCTCTCCCAGCACCCATCCCATCCATCGAGACACCATTTTTGTGCGAGCCCAAGTATGGGCCATCAAATATAAAAAAAAGGCATTATTTGGCTACCTGACACAATAGCTACATGTTCTATGTTAGTTTTATGTGATGTTTACGTTTATGTAATTTGTCCTTATAGTGGGTACCATGATGTTTGTGCAAACATTTAAGTATGTAGGTATATATAAAACAACGTTCGATAATGGTGTTATTCCTGAAAGATATACAGAGTGAATTTACCTTTCCGCATGCGCCCTGTACAACCGTCCTAACAGTTGTGAGGGAAGTAGCGCTGGTGAATTGCGTGCGGATTGTCAGAAAAGATGGCGTTTCTTGAATCTAACGACATCAATGTTATGGCACGGCGAGTTTTTCGAAAATTGGGGAGACCACTTTCCCGACCAAATCGCCAGATCTTACGCAACTCGATTTTTTTTGGGATATCGTCTACTCTGATCCTTCAACCACTACGGAGAAGTTAAAAGACAACATTCAACAGGCAATTAACAACATTCCTATTGAAATAGAAATATGTGTCAGCGGGTATTATAACATTCAGAAGAATCATTGGAGGAGTGCTATGAGAAGGATGGACGACATTTGGACAACATTGTGTTTAAGAAGTGGAATCCGCATCTCTGTACTTTCAAAATCAACGATTAATATTATCGCAACACTTTTAATTTTGTTTTCATACCATATTGAAAAAGTTACCCTGTATAATCTTTTACATTTTTCATCAAACAATTCTTCAATAATAACAAGAATAAATAAATTGACTATTTGATAAATAGAAAATAAAGAGACGTGAGAACAGTTCCCTAAAACCCACTTATTGTTCTTGGATATCTGTCATTTTCGAGAGAACCGCCGGGCTTACAGATACCAACTTGGTCAGAAAACGAATCCTATTGAGTTTTCTCCAACTTCATAACATATGATATTTCACGTGGGAAGCGTATTATAGAAGATAACTCACAAAATATGTGACCATTTTGAAGAAATTTCACTTTTTCGAAGGAAGTGCCTATTCTCAAAGAACTGTATCTTGGGAACCAATATCTCGAATTGAAGCAAATTCAGTTTTACTCAAAAGTATAAATGGTGACTATACCGGTCAAATCCTTCCTTCTCCAAGATATTGAGCAAAAGCTGAAAAAAGTCCGAAAATTTAATTTTTTTGGGTACCTATACCGCTGCTCGCACAGCAATTTGGAAATTGCAAATCTGGTTTTTCAATATTGGTTCAGGTCCTAACAACATATAAAGAATTAAGAACAACCGGACAAGCACGACCCCCTTTCATGTTTAACTTTACTGAACTACTAGTAGTAGTAAGAGAGTAGGATATTATGCAGACATGATCAATTAATACTATACCTTTTAACTATGGTGCATGAAAAATTCGAACTACTACCTACAGCAATATAACCACATTCTCAAATAGGCTAGGAATACTATTTCTTGTTGAAGAGTGTTAAATATGTATCGATCAAGTCTAATTTTGAAGTTGTTTAGACAGAGATGTAAATGGAAAATATACTCTGAAAACTCATAATATGCATCAAACCTCTGCTAATAAACATGCCCGTGAAACGTGAACAAAAACAACAGAATGCCATGGACTTATTAGTCTAAGATCCGAACCTAAGTCGACCTTCACCGAGCTGATAATAGAACGAAATATATTTTATCATGAATTTAGTATATTAGAAAACATATTAAAAATGGGTTGCCTAAAAAAATCCTGGGCAGACTATTTTTAATTATTTTTCGAAAAATTATTTTTAATTAAATGTTGCAACATCAGGATAATAAAAAAATTGTGTCCTGACTGAAAGTATGAAACGTATAGAATGTGCAGCCGTTGGGGTGTCTACTATTTACCTGGGCGAACTACTGGGTTGTCAGGTAAACACAGGTATATCGATGCCAGTTACTTTCACTGGATTGGATAATTTAAAAAAATGTATATCATCATAAGCGCTGTTTAATTGCGAACACGTTGATATAGGGTTGTCTGCGAAAATTCCGGTCCGATTAGGGGTTTTTAATTTCAAGGCGCGTGGAAGTGTGTGACAGAGAGATCCGAGGTAAGTATACTGTGTGATAATAAAGGACCCAACATCGCAGTCGCTTGTGATGGGACCCTGAATAGTAGAAAGTGCGCATGCTCGGTGTGTAAACTATGGAGGGTAGAGGTACCTCTACTACCCTTCATATAGTAAACAGTGCGTGTTATTTTGGAGCAACTGATATTTCAGTAGCAAAAAAAATTACATAATAATTAAATATATTTAATATAATACTAATAT